GGTGTCAGCATGGCTGAAAGAATGAAGTGGCTGCACATTGTTTGGCCTGTGCTATTATGTGCTTAACATTTCCATGACAAAAGTGCCACTCGACTTCTCCCCGATTAATGCAGCGCGAGGACTCTTGTCGTCCTTTAATAAAACATTGTTGAAATAATTTATTTAGAGCCCCTGGTTACTAGTGGGAGAATTGACTATATTTGTGCCAAAATTTAGTGTATACAGTTCACTATTTTATAGTAGATCATTCTGTTATTTAAGAAATTGATTAAATAGATGTCTTAGAAGGTATTTATGCTAATAGCACATTATTTATGTCATTCAGATAGTCAAAGGTGACCCTTTTCAACTGTCTACCAAAGACAATGTTTTAAGCTGAATACAGTAACACGTAACATTACTTAATTCACAAGGTGCTGAGAGTCACTGGGAACCCAGCCCTGCTGGAAGTTGTCTTTGACCATGAGGCATTTGGAACTTGACGTTCCCAACAATTTTGTTCTGGGTAGCTGGGAGAAGTGGTCAATTGACAAAGCTTCTCATGTTCTCTGGCGTGAGAGGTTCTAAGCAAAGAAACTGTGCTTTACCTTTTACAAATAAGAAAGAAATTAATAAAATTATGACAATGTCCACAGTGACCTCAAGAAGACAGTAATGAAAAGGCAAAGCTTACAAGTATGGAGATTTTTTTCAGTGTCATGCTTGGTACTTCTGAATGTTCTCATGGTGATTGTTCTTTTAGTCAGAGCTATTGTCCCTTTCCATAGCATTGATTTTGACACTGGTTTTGATACAGTTAAGCACAGTATAATTGTGCCAGCAAAAAAGTTGATGGTTCAATTCTACCCCAATACCTTGAAAGACAGGCCTGCCATTCTGTTTCCCCAAAGCCCAGTCTTGAAAATCCTGTGGAACCTTTTACTATGCACACACGAGATCCTCATGAGCCTTAGTCTATATGACATAACTTTGGGAAGAGTGTTGCTAATATAAACATAGGCACACAGCTGCTAACTTAAAGGCTGATGATTCAAACCACCTAGCGGCTCCATGGGAGAACATCCAATGATCTATTGCTATAAAGATTGCAAGAAAGAAAATCCAACAGGTCAGTTATGCTCTGCCACATGGGGCCACCAGGAGCAGGAATTGACTTGAAAGCATCTGTGATAGCATGACATCACAGGTAGAAGAGGGGGTGCGAATGAGAAGTATGATGTGAGACAGGAAATCTTATTTCTCTTGAAATCCTCAAGATAGAGATGTGGGTCTTCTTCATCCGCATGGATGGACTTCAGACACCACAAACATATGAGTCTGGACACTCCTTAAGTTTGTGGCCAATTGGTCCAGGAGCTGCTCCTTCCCTACAGGCCTTTGTAGTAGCTCAACCTGGGAACAGGATGGCCTGCCTGGAGGAGCAGTAATCTTCTTTGTAAGCTATTTTTTCCACTTCATATATGTGTATTGCTCATATATATTGCTATATATTGTTAAAAATAAACAGAAACCTTATATCCATTGTGATGGTATACAAAAGCTTTGTTGTGTGCTTGGCTGAGCAGTGGAGCTTGAACCTCCTTCTATTTTACTGTATGGTCACTGTCAGCTCAATGAACTGCCTCCTTGTTCTCAACCATTGTCCCACACTCCCTTAAACATTTGTCACTAAAGTGCCTCCAAAGACAAACTGTCACTGAGAATTCAAACCTGCTAACTGGCGAAATGGGAAAGGCTTTGAGGACACATAATTTTACAACAAATCTAAAAAGGATTCCTTTTGCCCTCTGATATGGGGGTAAGGGGACGCCTTTTGAGAATCCCAAGAAAAGCCAGATATTTTTCTCTCATTAATAGTACTTCCGGGCCTTCTCAGCAAGACATTTGAGACAGCCAAATGCTCCAAATTCCGATCCCCAGAGCAAGTGAGGTAGTACAGATGTCAACATCTGTCTAAGTCTTTTCTGCCTAGTTAATAGCAACACACAATTCCAGAATAGTCAGCCTTTGCTTCTAATATTCCAGCCAACTTGAAGAGTCCACAAGGTTTATGCCAGGGTGAGGCTTGTCCAGGAGGTCCTGTTTGTAATGGCTTAAATGAAATGAAGCACCTATCAATGTTCACTTTCTTTCAGGAAGCAGCATAAAGCCTCATGTTCTCTCCAGAGCCAGCAGTGTTGATTTATGCCAGGCAGATGCTTTTGACAGCACCCTGTAAAATCAAGTCCTGAGTTTATTGTAGCAGTTAATTATCAGGTCTTTTCCAGTACTAATGCTCTTTGCCTCTTGCGGGGTGGGTGGGTGGAGGGGAACCTGGGGGCCTTTCACTAGGCAAAGATTTAACTTTTAGTAAAAAATGTGTTAAAATGACTTGAGACAACTTAAACCTATTTAAGGAGGAAGCCTGAAGGATTGCTAACTCACTTTGTAAAGAATGCTTTACAAGTCTCTCCAAATAGCTTTCTTTGTTCTCTTCTCAAGGAAACAATGCTTTCAGCTTTGTTTTAACAATATGTTTACTTAACCATTCAGGTGACTTGATTGTAGTTCCACACCATCCTCACACCAAGTGTTTGATATTACAACCATCAGGCTTTCTGATGCCAGTCAACTAAGAATCTAACCTAAAATTCACTAAACGTGACTTAACTCCCTCTATAGAAGTTTGGGAAAAGATCAAATTAAAAGCTAGAACAACCTAGCAAGTAGAGGTAGGAGTGGGTAATGGAAGCTGAAAGAGGGCACAGTTTTGTTAATTACTTTAGGCAGCAGAGAAATTTGGTCATGTTTTCTCAGCACATGTTAATATCAAATAAAGAGACAGGAGATCTTGCTAATCTGTCCACCCCTCAGACAAAGTTTATTTGTGGTGACTTTTAAACTCCTGACTTGCCTCCCAATCACCACGTTTAAAATGAAAAGCTTTAAGTAAACATCAGGAATAGAAGATAAATAAACTTTTCCCCCCTTGCAAGTGCCTAGCTTGGCGAGGTTCAAGCTCAAATCCCCAGAGGACCAAGCGCTCTCTTTTGTGTTAATGTTTAAAAGATTTTCCAATGCCAGGAGTTTATTCCTACTGCAAACATTTCTATTTACAAGGTCAAGTGTATCAGCACTCGACACAGCTTAAGAGTGTAATTATTTATCTAAGGGCGTTTGAGTGTGGAGCAGTAGCTCTGGCAAGGACCCAGCCTTCAGCCTGAGCTAAACAACTACTCACAACAATATTACAAGCTTTGGCAATTGTTCTTCTCCCCAGTGTGTTTACTTTTACCCGCCCCAACCCTTTGTAACAAAATTTTGTACTTTTTCACCAAAAGTGTGAAAATGACTTTGAAATCTTAAGTCTTGTAGCTTTCCTAAACCCTATTTATAACAAATGTTATTGACACTGTGTTAACTGGAAGAATGTCCAGTAGCTATATAGAACATATTTGGGGAGTGTGTGTGACAGGGTTGTCAGTTGAAAAGGGAGGGGAGTGAAGACGCTAATTGTGATTTCTCTTAACCATGAGAGCTAATGGAGGGCAGTCAATTATATTATTTTTAACTGCCTCATTTACAGATGCCTAATTGTTCATTAAAGGCAGTCATAATAGCCCTAATTTCTTGTACAGTATTTTAATTTCAGCTAATGGTTGATAGATTCTCAGTACCCCTGCCTCCCTCTTCACCCTTCATCTCACTTATTGGCTAACCACAGAGTAAAGTCTGGAAAGTAACTACACCATAGTCATTACAAAAAAGTCTTTACTGATGTACATATTTTAATAAAACAAAAAAGGTACACAAAAGTTATTTAAAACATAGGCTTTTAAAAAAAACCAACAAACAGCAACCCACAATGTCTATAAAAATACAAATGCTTAAGGCAGTTTGGAAATGCATTCATCTCTACGATGACCATAAATTCTCTGGAGAGTAAGAATGTTAAGTCACATCTATAAAATACACTATACACTGCCCTGGAGCCAGCGTACACGTGACGATGGACTGTAGTGTGTCTCCTGCTGGCAGAAGAACTCTGTACTTTTGTGGAGTGTGTGTATCATGATTTAAAATTTTAAAAATAAATTATTTCCGAAGCATACAATTTATAAAAATTCTATATACAAAGTACAACTGGTAATAAATCCCAGCTTTAAATACACTTTATATACGATTTACCAAGGTCTAGCACCCCGATAGCAGCAGAGGCAATACATTTTCTCAGTCCGTAAATTTGTACACATGATTTCTTGACGCAAAGAGCAAAAATGAAAACAAAACAGGCACCATAAAGAGGCTTTTGTAGGTGACAGGGTAGAGCTCTTGTAAATAAAAATGTTGCATTGTTACCACCACTGACTTTTTAAGTCAGCATTCTTTTTTATCTTAAAAATATGCTCTAAAAGATCAGAGTGGTCGAAATTAGAGCAAGCTCAAAATTATCCAAAACTCATTCAGGAAAATTAGTACCCAGCCACCTGACCTTACAGCAAGCATGCACTCCCCTCTCTCCCTCCCAGTCACGAGGACGTGCGCGCAGATACCACGCGTGAATGAATGAATCCTAACTAAGACCTGAATCTGTTCACCTAAGATCACCATCTCTGGTCAATCAATACAACTTTATATTGGCATCTCCCTCCCCCCCCCCAAAGGTGTTAGTATGGCAGTTCTTTTGCAAAACAAATTTCCTTCAAATTCTCTGTTCCAATCCTTGAGAATAGGGACCCTTAGACTCACTTGGCACCCACCCTTCAGAACTAGGGGCCCCAGCTCAGGCCTCGCCGGGAGTTACTCCACTCTCTGCAATTCCCCGCAGTCGGAAGCTACTGGACACACGACCAGGGGGTGTAGAGCCCTCAGTGGGGACGGGCGGAGGAGCACAACGCGAGTGGCAAAGGCGTCGGGGCATGTGGGACACCGGCGTGGCAGAGTCCACTTTGGAAAAGTTCCGGAAAGAATTACTAACTGTCCCTTCGGTCGGTCCTACCGCTGCGTGGTGAGTTGCGCGGCTACCAGAAGGACCGGAGCAACAGCAAAATGGAGGCGAGCGGGGTCCAGGCGCTTCGGGGCGCGGCGAGGCCGCCACTGCTCCGGCGCCCGGACCCATAGGGAAAGTCGCCGTGGCCGCCTGCCGCCACAGCGCCGCCGCCCGGGCGAAGGACGCCTTCGTCATCGTCCAGTGGCTGCTCGCCGCCCGCGACCCCGGGCCGCTGCTCGTCGTCATAATCCTCCTCGTAGTAATCGTCCAAGCCCCCGTCCGAGCCGCTGCTGCCCTGACCGTTGCCCATCTCGGCGCCGAAGCATAGGCGGGCCATGTTCTCCTTGACCGACTCGCAGATGGGCCGCTCGAGGCCGTCGCACACGCAGTCGTTGAGCAAGGCAGCTTTAGGCACGGTCAGCATGTCCTCGATGACCGTGCGGCACTCTTCCGTGCAGCGCAGCCCGTTGAAGAGCTTACCGCAGTAGGTCAGGTAACGGCTGAGGGCCAGGTTGCAGCTGCTGTCGCGGTCGCAGCGCCGCCGGGCCTCGGTGCAGCCCATGACCCCGCCTGCTCCCGGACCGCCCGCGCCACCGCTCGTCCGCGGCAAGCAAGGCTCTATGGCGCGCTTGGTGGACTTGCAGTTCTCGTCCTGCGCGCAGTCACAGTCCTCGAGCGCTGGTCCGCGGCGCGTGTGATTGAGCTGAATGAGCGCGGAGATGCAGTGACTCGGGCAGCGCCAGCGCGGCGAAGCAGCGGCAAAGGCGGCCCCCGGCACGTCGCCCCCGCGCTGCGCCAGTATCGGTGCACACGCCTCGGCGTACTGGCTGTAAGCGTAGCTGCACTCCGGCTCCCCCTGGCACTGCAGCAGCGCCTGCCAGCAGATGAGGCGGCGGCCGTGAGCTAGTCCGGAGCCCGGCGGCGTCCAGCCCAGCAGCTGCAGCAGCGCCATCAGGCACAGCCAGGCGCCCGACAGAGTGCCTCCGCGGGTCCCGCTGCTGCTGCCCAGTAGCCTGCCCACCATCGTGGGCAGCGGCGGCCGCCGGGCGAGGAGGGAAAGGGAAAGAAGGCGTTCAGTGCTGCGGGCGCGGAGCTGGTGGAAAAGTACGTCCAAGTCCGGGCAACTTCTGGCATGAGCGTCTTCATAAAGCCATTCACGGTGCAGACTGGTGTCCCGCTGGCAGCAGAAAGTCGACCAGAAGGCTGCGGAGTCTTTCTAGAAATGCACCACTGCCGGGAGTCCCGCTCTCCAGCGAGGAGGAAAGCCCTCCGAGGAGGCCCTTCTGGACAGGCGGTGTTCACAGCAGCGCCGGGAGTCCCCGGAGCGCGGGGCTGCGGCGGGGCTGCAGAAGCGCGCGGCGTCGCGGGGGCATCTCGCGGGGCTCGGCGCCGGCAGGTCCCTGACGCG